CAGGTGAGTGTGTGAATGTGTCACTGTGCAGGTGAGTGTGTGAATGTGTCACTGCTGCAGGTGAGTGTGTGAATGTGTCACTGTGCAGGTGAGTGTGTGAATGTGTCACTGTGCAGGCTGAGTGTGTGAATGTGTCACTGTGCAGGCTGAGTGTGTGAATGTGTCACTGTGCAGCTGAGTGTGTGAATGGTCACTGTGCAGGTGAGTGTGTGAATGTGTCACTGTGCAGCTGAGTGTGTGAATGTGTCACTGTGCAGGTGAGTGTGTGAATGTGTCACTGTGCAGGTGAGTGTGTGAATGTGTCACTGTGCAGGTGAGTGTGTGAATGTGTCACTGTGCAGGTGAGTGTGTGAATGTGTCACTGTGCAGGTGAGTGTGTGAATGTGTCACTGTGCAGGTTGAGTGTGTGAATGTGTCACTGCAGGTGAGTGTGTGAATGTGTCACTGTGCAGGTGAGTGTGTGAATGTGTCACTGTGCAGGTGAGTGTGGAATGTGTCACTGTGCAGGTGAGTGTGTGAATGTGTCACACTTGCAGGTGAGTGTGTGAATGTGTCACTGGCAGGTGAGTGTGTGAATGTGTCACTGCAGGTGAGTGTGTGAATGTGTCACCGTGCAGGTGAGTGTGTGAATGTGTCACTGTGCAGGTGAGTGTGTGAATGTGTCACTGCAGGTGAGTGTGTGAATGTGTCACCGTGCTGGTGAGTGTGTGAATGTGTCACCGTGCAGGTGAGTGTGTGAATGTGTCACTGTGCAGGTGAGTGTGTGAATGTGTCACTGCAGGTGAGTGTGTGAATGTGTCACCGTGCAGGTGAGTGTGTGAATGTGTCACTGTGCAGGTGAGTGTGTGAATGTGTCACCGTGCAGGTGAGTGTGTGAATGTGTCACTGTGCAGGTGAGTGTGTGAATGTGTCACCGTGCAGGTGAGTGTGTGAATGTGTCACTGTGCAGGTGAGTGTGTGAATGTGTCACTGTGCAGGTGAGTGTGTGAATGTATCACCGTGCAGGTGAGTGTGTGAATGTGTCGCTGTGCAGGTGAGTGTGTGAATGTGTCACTGTGCAGGTGAGTGTGTGAATGTGTCACTGTGCAAGTGAGTGTGTGAATGTGTCACTGCAGGTGAGTGTGTGAATGTGTCGCTGTGCAGGTGAGTGTGTGAACGTGTCACTGCAGGTGAGTGTGTGAATGTGTCGCTGTGCAGGTGAGTGTGTGAATGTGTCGCTGTGCAGGTGAGTGTGTGAATGTGTCACTGCAGGTGAGTGTGTGAATGTGTCGCTGTGCAGGTGAGTGTGTGAACGTGTCACTGCAGGTGAGTGTGTGAATGTGTCACTGTGCAGGTGAGTGTGTGAATGTGTCACTGCAGGTGAGTGTGTGAATGTGTCGCTGTGCAGGTGAGTGTGTGAACGTGTCACTGTGCAGGTGAGTGTGTGAACGTGTCACTGTGCAGGTGAGTGTGTGAATGTGTCACTGTGCAGGTGAGTGTGTGAATGTGTCACTGTGCAAGTGAGTGTGTGAATGTGTCACTGCAGGTGAGTGTGTGAATGTGTCGCTGTGCAGGTGAGTGTGTGAACGTGTCACTGTGCAGGTGAGTGTGTGAATGTGTCACTGTGCAGGTGAGTGTGTGAATGTGTCACTGTGCAAGTGAGTGTGTGAATGTGTCACTGCAGGTGAGTGTGTGAATGTGTCACTGTGTAGGTGAGTGTGTGAATGTGTCACTGTGCAGGTGAGTGTGTGAATGTGTCACTGTGCAGGTGAGTGTGTGAATGTGTCACTGTGCAGGTGAGTGTGTGAATGTGTCACTGTGTAGGTGAGTGTGTGAATGTGTCGCTGTGCAGGTGAGTGTGTGAACGTGTCACTATGCAGGTGAGTGTGTGAATGTGTCACTGTGCAGGTGAGTGTGTGAATGTGTCACTGCAGGTGAGTGTGTGAATGTGTCGCTGTGCAGGTGAGTGTGTGAACGTGTCACTGTGCAGGTGAGTGTGTGAACGTGTCACTGTGCAGGTGAGTGTGTGAATGTGTCACTGTGCAAGTGAGTGTGTGAATGTGTCACTGCAGGTGAGTGTGTGAATGTGTCGCTGTGCAGGTGAGTGTGTGAACGTGTCACTGTGCAGGTGAGTGTGTGAACGTGTCACTGTGCAGGTGAGTGTGTGAATGTGTCGCTGTGCAGGTGAGTGTGTGAACGTGTCACTGTGCAGGTGAGTGTGTGAACGTGTCACTGTGCAGGTGAGTGTGTGAATGTGTCACTGTGCAGGTGAGTGTGTGAATGTGTCGCTGTGCAAGTGAGTGTGTGAATGTGTCGCTGTGCAGGTGAGTGTGTGAATGTGTCACTGTGCAGGTGAGTGTGTGAATGTGTCACTGTGCAAGTGAGTGTGTGAATGTGTCGCTGTGCAGGTGAGTGTGTGAATGTGTCACTGTGCAAGTGAGTGTGTGAACGTGTCGCTGTGCAGGTGAGTGTGTGAATGTGTCACCGTGCAGGTGAGTGTGTGAATGTGTCACTGTGCAGGTGAGTGTGTGAACGTGTCACTATGCAGGTGAGTGTGTGAATGTGTCGCTGTGCAGGTGAGTGTGTGAATGTGTCACTGTGCAGGTGAGTGTGTGAATGTGTCACTGTGCAGGTGAGTGTGTGAATGTGTCACACTGCAGGTGAGTGTGTGAATGTGTCACTGTGCAGGTGAGTGTGTGAATGTGTCACTGTGCAGGTGAGTGTGTGAACGTGTCACTATGCAGGTGAGTGTGTGAACGTGTCACTGTGCAGGTGAGTGTGTGAATGTGTCACTGTGCAGGTGAGTGTGTGAACGTGTCACTGTGCAGGTGAGTGTGTGAATGTGTCACTGTGCAGGTGAGTGTGTGAACGTGTCACTGTGCAGGTGAGTGTGTGAACGTGTCACTGTGCAGGTGAGTGTGTGAATGTGTCACTGTGCAGGTGAGTGTGTGAATGTGTAACTGTGCAGGTGAGTGTGTGAATGTGTCACTGTGCAGGTGAGTGTGTGAATGTGTCACTGTGCAGGTGAGTGTGTGAATGTGTCACTGTGCAGGTGAGTGTGTGAATGTGTCACTGTGTAGGTGAGTGTGTGAGGTCACGTGTGTCACTGTGCAGGTGAGTGTGTGATTGTGTCACTGTGCAGGTGAGTGTGTGAACGTGTCACTGTGCAGGTGAGTGTGTGAACGTGTCACTGTGCAGGTGAGTGTGTGAATGTGTCACTGTGCAGGTGAGTGTGTGAATGTGTCACTGTGCAGGTGAGTGTGTGAATGTGTCACTGTGTAGGTGAGTGTGTGAATGTGTCACTGTGCAGGTGAGTGTGTGAATGTGTCGCTGTGCAGTTGAGTGTGTGAACGTGTCACTGTGCAGGTGAGTGTGTGAATGTGTCACTGTGCAGGTGAGTGTGTGAACGTGTCACTGTGCAGGTGAGTGTGTGAATGTGTCACTGTGCAGGTGAGTGTGTGAATGTGTCACTGTGTAGGTGAGTGTGTGAATGTCTCACTGTGCAGGTGAGTGTGTGAATGTGTCACTGTGCAGGTGAGTGTGTGAATGTGTCACTGTGCAGGTGAGTGTGTGAATGTGTCACTGTGCAGCTGAGTGTGTGAATGTATCACTGTGCAGGTGAATGTGTGAATGTGTCGCTGTGCAGGTGAGTGTGTGAATGTGTCACTGTGCAGCTGAGTGTGTGAATGTATCACTGTGCAGGTGAGTGTGTGAATGTGTCACTGTGCAGGTGAGTGTGTGAATGTGTCACTGTGCAGGTGAGTGTGTGAATGTGTCACTGTGCAGGTGAGTGTGTGAATGTGTCACACTGCAGGTGAGTGTGTGAATGTGTCACTGTGCAGGTGAGTGTGTGAATGTGTCACTCTGCAGGTGAGTGTAGTAACGTGTCGCTGTGCAGGTGAGTGTGTGAATGTGTCACTGTGCAGGTGAGTGTGTGAATGTGTCACTGTGCAGGTGAGTGTGTGAATGTGTCACTGTGCAGGTGAGTGTGTGAACGTGTCACTGTGCAAGTGAGTGTGTGAATGTGTCACTCTGCAGGTGAGTGTAGTAACGTGTCGCTGTGCAGGTGAGTGTGTGAATGTGTCACTGTGCAGGTGAGTGTGTGAATGTGTCACTGTGCAGGTTAGTGTGTGAATGTGTCACTGCAGGTGAGTGTGTGAATGTGTCACTGTGCAGGTGAGTGTGTGAATGTGTCACTGTGCAGGTGAGTGTGTGAACGTGTCACTGTGCAGGTGAGTGTGTGAATGTGTCACTGTGCAAGTGAGTGTGTGAATGTGTAACTGTGCAGGTGAGTGTGTGAATGTGTCACTGTGCAAGTGAGTGTGTGAATGTGTAACTGTGCAGGTGAGTGTGTGAATGTGTCACTGTGCAAGTGAGTGTGTGAATGTGTCACACTGCAGGTGAGTGTGTGAATGTGTCACTGTGCAGGTGAGTGTGTGAATGTGTCACTGCAGGTGAGTGTGTGAATATGCCACTGTGCAGGTGAGTGTGTGAATGTGTCACTGTGCAAGTGAGTGTGTGAATGTTTCACTGTGCAAGTGAGTGTGTGAATGTGTAATTGCTGCTGAGTGTGTGAATGTGTCGCGGTGCAGGTGAGTGTGTGATTGTTTCACTGTGCAGGTGAGTATGTGAATGTGTTGCTGTGCAGGTGAGTGCTGTGGAGATCTATGCCATGTGAGTGTGAGTATATCTCTGTGCAGGTGTGCGTAGGGTTGCAGTTAACGTGTTGCACTACAAATCCAGTGATCAAAGTTCCATTTCCGCCTGTGGCACATATTTAATCTTGTCCCGGGCCTCCCATAGGTTGACTCAGCTCTTTATGAGTACTTCAATGAATACCTGGTGCGTTGTATAAAGATCCGCAACTTGGGGGAGACAAAGGTGGCCGGGCGTGGCGTTGGCCACTCACCCCCGGCCTTAATTGCTACTCGCTAACAGATGTTTCCTCCCAAAAAGTCTGTTAAAGGTGATATGCGGGAATGGTTGTCTGTGTGTCACCACAAACAGCAGCACGCACGCACCCCTTTGGGATGTCGCGCACCACATCCACCCCAAATCGCCCCTCCAAGTCGGCTCCGTACGACACTGCGGTCGCCACCACGGTCTGAGCACGCACACAGACGCAGCAGGGTCACGGGGAGCTGAGGGTCACCGGTCAGAGAATGCGTTCAGGGGTCAGAGACTGGGGTCAGGGTCCATATAACGGTGTCGGGGCCATATAATATGGTCAGATTAAGGGGTCATAGGATCAGGAACTGTTTACAGGGTCAGGCATCATATACAGGGTCAGAGGTGAGAGACAGGGGTCACGGCCAGAATCAAGGTCAGGGGTCAGGCATGCAGGGGTCAGAGACGAGGCCAGGCGGGCACGAGCAGGGTCAGATAGGGGATTAGGGGTCAGAGACAGGGCAGCAGGGTCCCTGAAAGGGCATGGGTCGAAATGGGGGCAGGCGGTGTGGCACAGGAGGGAGGATGATGATGGTGATGATTTTTCTCCTCGCTATGCATTATGCATGAAGCCATAGGCGGTGTGCACGGTGCGTGCGCTCGGCCCGCGGGGACCTCGTGCGCGCGCGGCGGTGCAGTTAATTGTGATTAATTTGCTCGCGCGATTCACGCTCGCGCCAGAGTCCTGACCACGAGCAGCTCGACCGGGATGGGCACGGGCAGGCGGCGCGCGAAGCGCTGGTTAATCTCCTTTGCGAGGACAGCGACGACGATGCAGATGATCGAGGTCACGACGTCGGCCACGTTGCTCTGAGGCAGTCGGGAGAACACCTCGATGATAGCCTGGGGAGATGCACAGGTGCATGGGTGGGCGCATGGGCATACAGATGCATGGAAGCACGGACGAGTGGGATTTGAGACGTGAACCGACGCTACTATGCCATGAATAATCTCACAAAGCCAGCACGTGTCCCGGGTGATCACGTGCGGGGAGACACGTGAGGAAGAGACACGGCTGTGTGGGTGGATATTTTGTTTAAACAAACACTGCACCCTCTCAACTCCCCATTTTTGATGGAGCAGTTGTGGAGGGAATAGAGAGGTTTCCATACAGTGAGGGAAAAAACCCTATTTAATCCCCTGCTGATTTTGTACGTTTGCCCACTGACTAAGAAATGATCAGTCTATAATTTTAATGGTAGGTTTATTTGAACAGTGAGAGACAGAATAACAACAACAAAATCCAGAAAAACGCATGTCAAAAATGTTATCAATTGATTTGCATTTTAATGAGGAAAATAAGTATTTGACCCTCTGCAAAACATGACTTAGTACTTGGTGGCAAAACCCTTGTTGACAATCACAGATGTCAGACGTTTCTTGTAGTTGGCCACCAGGTTTGCACACATCTCAGGAGGGATTTTGTCCCACTCCTCTTTGCAGATCTTCTCCAAGTCATTAAGGTTTCGAGGCTGACGTTTGGCAACTCGAACCTTCAGCTCCCTCCACGGATTTTCTATGGGATTAAAGTCTGGAGACTGGCTAGGCCACTACAGGACCTTAATGAGCTTCTTCTTGAGCTACTCCTTTGTTGCCTTGGCCGTGTGTTTTGGGTCTTTGTCATGCTGGAATATCCATCCACGACCCATTTTCAATGCCCTGGCTGAGGGAAGGAGGTTCTCACCCAAGATTTGACGGTACATGGCCCCGTCGATCGTCCCTTTGATGCGGTGAAGTTGTCCTGTCCCCTTAGCAGAAAACACCCCCAAAGCATAATGTTTCCACCTCCATGTTTGACGGTGGGGATGGTGTTCTTGGGGTCATAGGCAGCATTCCTCCTCCTCCAAACACGGCGAGTTGAGTTGATGCCAAAGAGCTCCATTTTGGTCTCATCTGACCACAACACTTTCACCCAGTTGTCCTCTGAATCATTCAGATGTTCATTGGCACACTTCAGACGGGCATGTATATGTGCTTTCTTGAGCAGGGGGACCTTGCGGATGCTGCAGGATTTCAGTCCTTCACGGCGTAGTGAGTCACCAAGAAAACAGTTGGTAACAATGGTCCCAGCTGCCTTGAGATCATTGACAAGATCCTCCCGTATAGTTCTGGGCTGATTCCTCACCGTTCTCATGATCATTGCAACTCCACGAGGTCAAATCTTGCATGGAGCCCCAGGCCGAGGGAGATTGACAGTTCTTTTGTGTTTCTTCCATTTGCAAATAATCGCACCAACTGTTGTCACCTTCTCACCAAGCTGCTTGGCGATGGTCTTGTAGCCCATTCCAGCCTTGTGTAGGTCTACAATCTTGTCCCTGACATCATTGGAGAGCTCTTTGGTCTTGGCCATGGTGGAGAGTTTGGAATCTGATTGATTGATTGCTTCAGTGAACAGGTGTCATTTATACAGGTAACAAGCTTAGATTAGGAGCACTCCCTTTAAGAGTGTGCTCCTAATCTCAGGTCGTTACCTGTATAAAAGATACCTGGGAGACAGAAATCTTTCTGATTGAGAGGGGGTCAAATACTTATTTCCCTCATTAAAATGCAAATCAATTTATAACATTTTTGACATGCGTTTTTCTGGATTTTGTTGTTGTTATTCTGTCTTTCACTGTTCAAATAAATCTACTGTACCATTAAAATTATAGACTGATAATTTCTTTGTCAGTTGGCAAACGTAAAAAATCAGCAGGGGATAAAAATACTTTTTTCCCTCACTGTACCTGGGCAGTGTGCTTCTGATCAGCTCCGGTTTCACATCAGAAGTCTCACTCTGAATCAGTCGGGCGGCATTATCGTATCATCGGCTGCGCAAGGCTGTGTGGATGCTACCTGGTCTGTCACTCTACACGAAGCTTCGGGCCTTCTCGGCCACAGTTAGGCTTTTCCTTTTCTATTTTTGCAAAATGTGGACCCCGCTAATGGTACATCTGCATCGATTAGAAACATTCAGGCTGGCCTGCCTATGATCCATCCATTCTCGAGCAGAACGGGCACCAGAAGTTGATGAGTGATGTGGTACAGGAGGATGTGGAGCGGAGTGGACTTGCCGATGACTGGTACCAGCGGTGTCAAGATCGGCCTCTGTGGAGGAGGCTCGTGAAGGACAATACTGGGCAGTTGAAGACAGTCGCCCTCCAACAACGGAGCAACACTCACAACAACGGGCAGAGTGCCGAGCGGCTAAAACACAGCAAGTTGGAACGGTAGGGGGGCACAGTTCATGCAGCTGCATCAGGTCATCTCAGTCGACCCATGGCACCTGGGTCTGTCCCGTAACCTGCCAGCAAACCTTTGAAACTTCACGTGGCTTTAAAGTCCAAATTGCCTGGCACAACCCCCGTGGTGACGTCACTACCACTTAGTGGCGAATGACGATTATTTGAACCACTCCTGGGCATCTCCTAGGTCTACTCAGCCTTAAATGAGTACCTGGTGCGGTGTATAAACATCGCCACTGGGGAGACAAAGGTGGCGTGGTGTTGGCCATCCACCCTCTCGTGCGCCATGCTGGCCTTCGTAGGTGCTTGCTAACAGCACTTGCCCCAACAGTGTGTGGGTGTGAGTGCTCACGTAGATTGAGGCGAAGGGGCCGCTGTACGAGGGCACAGAGAGGCCGAAGAGATACTTGAGCTGAGACACGAGGACGTGGAACGCGGCCGCCGTCATGAAGCCACTGACGAGCGGCGACGACAGGAAGATGGAGACGAAGCCGACACGCAGCGCGCCCAGACACAGCTGGGCGTAGGGACACAGGTCAGAGACAAAGATCCTCCGTGTGTAGCCCTTAACGGACTTTTGGGGTAAGTGCGACGGCCACTATTCATCACAAAGTGGCAGGGGCGCCACCACGGTGCTTGTGCCAGGCTAGCTGCACCTGGAGGCCACGTGACGCGTCGCAGGCTCGCAGACAGGAGGTGACAGCGCAGACGATGGTGTTGTGGGTTGACTGACTGAGGTGACTGGCAGATGCTTACACACACACATGCATACACCTACACACATGCATACGCCTACACACACACGCATGCATACACCTACACACAAATGCATACACACACATGCATACACACACATGCATACACCTACACACACATTCATACACACACATGCATGCATACACACACACATGCATACACCTACACACAACAACAACAACCGCCAATCGACACTAAGTGGCGGTGACGTCACCACGACGCTTGTGGCAGGCCAAGTGCACCTTGAAGCCACGTGAAGTGTCGAACGCCCGCTGGCAGGAGGTCACGGGGCAGACCCAGCAGGTGCCACGGGACGACTGACCGAGATGATTGGCTGATGTACCACCTGTGCCCCCTAATGTACCAATTTGCTGTGCTTTAGCCACCCGGCACTCCGCTCGTTGTTGTGAGCGTTGCTCCTCCGCCCTCCGTTGTTGTTGGAGGGCGACTGCCTCCAACTGCCCAGTAGCGTCCTTCACGAGCCTCCTCCACAGAGGCCGATCTTGACACCGCTGGTACCAGTCATCGGCAAGTCCACTCAGCTCCACGTTCTCCTGTACTACATCACTCCATCTCTTCTCTAGCCCGTGCCGCGCCCGTTTAGCCCCCTCGATCCGGCCGAACAAAAGCTATTTAGGCATGCGGTGGCTGGGCATGCGGCTTACATGACCCAGCCAACGCAGCCTTGCCCGCCGGAGGAGCTCACCGATGGGACTTTGACCAGATCTTTCAAGGATTTGTGAGCTCCTCACACAATCCAGCCTGGCTAAACCCAAGATGGATCGTAGGCAGGCCAGCCTAAATGTTTCCAAACGGGGAAGATGCTCCATTAGGGGGGTCCACGTGTCGCAAGCGTAGAGAAGGGAGGGAATGACCGTGGCTGAGAAGACCTGAAGCTTCCACACAGCGTTACACAACCGATTAGAATATATTGCCGCTCGACTGATTCGGAGTGAGACCTCTGCTGATAAACTGGAGCCGGTCATAAGCACACTGCACAGGTATGGGAAACTCTCCACTCTCTCCACAACTGCCCCATCACCGATTGGGAGTTGTGGGGATGGAGTGTCCGATGGTACAAAATACCCAGGCAGGTGCTTAGTTTTGGTGGGGCTGATGGTAAGGCCCCACCTCTTAGTGACACGCTCCAGTCTCAGCAGCAGCGTCTCCAACTCCTCTTCTGAATGAGCAGCTATTACCAAATAATCGGCATACATAACGTGGTTGACCAATAGGGAGCCATCCCTTGATCGCACCCGGGCGTCGATCAGCCTCCCATTATATCTGTACCAAATGGAAATTCCCCCGGTATAGCTATTGAAGGCTTCACGAACTACGCAGTCGAAATAGATGTTAAATAATGTGGGAGCCAGAGGACATCCCTGTCGCACCCCAAGGTGTACAGGGAAAGGCTCCGACTCCCGGCCACGTAGTTTTACCCGGGCCTGCTCACCATCATGAAGGTCCTTAATGATCGTGAGCAGAGGGTCACCTACACACACACATGCATACACACACATGCATGCATACACACACACATGCATACACCTACACACACACATGCATACACCTACACACACACATGCATACACCTACACACACATGCATTCATTTAAGCACAGGCGTGTGTAATAACAGTAATACTCTATGGACTTGTAAACACCAACACGCTGCTCTGGCATCGGCGGAACCCAATACATCTTGGGTGCTCGCTGGGCCCACACAAGAACATCTGTTGGATTCTATTATGACGCATGTGCGCGCACACACACACACAGATACAGGTAGGGGAGCGGTAGTGTTGGGGTTAGTGCATTGCGCTACGAACCCGGCGACCCGAGTTCGATTCCCGCTCGAGGTCACTAACACCAGTGAGTGAGAATTGTCTGAAACGGTCCTGGGCCTCCCTGAGATCGACTCAACCACGAATGAGTACCTGGTTCTGGTGTGTAAACATCACCACTGGGGAGACAAAGACGGCCGGGCGTGGTGCTGGCCACCCATCCCCTCGTGTGCCGTTCCGGCCTTCATAAGATGTTCGTTAACAGCACTTGCCTCAAAAGTATGTTGAGGCTATACGGGGAATCTTTGTCTTTGTAGCACACACCTACCACGTGTTATTGGCACGTGCACCCCATGCACTCACCACGCGTCCCCGTCTCACCTGTATGATCCCCACCAGGCAGGTGACGCTGGCAGCCACTGCCACTCGCCGCGCGTCAACGTCGCTCGGCGTGGCCACGGTGGCGTTTCCCAGGGTCTCGTTTCCCGCCTCCAAGGCAACTGCCCCCCCATCGTCGGGGACCAGGCGCACCGTCACGGTGCCAACCATGAGGCTGACCACGGGGAAGAGGCCTACAAGTGGCAGCAAGGGGTCGAAGGTGGTTCGGACGCATGGGTGAGTGAGGGTGGGAGTGAGAGGCGAGAAGACTGTGAGTGAGCGACTGAGTAACTAAGCGAGTGGCCGAGTAGGCGAGCGAGTGGTTTGGTGAGCGACTGAGTGACCGAGTAGGCGAGCGAGTGGTTTGGTGAGCCACTGAGTGGCCGAGTAGGCGAGCGAGTGGTTTGGTGAGCGACTGAGTGGCCGAGTAGGCGAGCGAGTGGTTTGGTGAGCGACTGAGTGACCGAGTAGGCGAGCGAGTGGTTTGGTGAGCGACTGAGTGACCGAGTAGGTGAGTGAGTGGTTTAGTGAGCGAGTGAGTGGCCGAGTAGGTGAGCGAGTGGTTTGGTGAGCGAGTGAGTGGCCGAGTAGGCGAGCCAGTGGTTTGGTGAGCGACTGAGTGGCCGAGTAGGTGAGCGAGTGGTTTGTTGAGCGACTGAGTGACCGAGTAGGCGAGCGAGTGGTTTGGTGAGCGACTGAGTGGCCGAGTAGGCGAGCGAGTGGTTTGGTGAGCGACTGAGTGGCCGAGTAGGCGAGCGAGTGGTTTGGTGAGCGACTGAGTGACCGAGTAGGCGAGCGAGTGGTTTGGTGAGCGAGTGAGTGGCCGAGTAGGCGAGCGAGTGGTTTGGTGAGC